CACTTGAGCCACAGCACCACTTCTGGCTTTTTTCTTTTTGCTTATGTGGTGCTGAGGAATTGAACCCAGGGCCTCTGGCATGCAAGGCATGCACTCTACCACTGAGCCAACTTCCCAGCCCACTGCTGGTTAGTTTGGAGATGGAGTCTTGAGGACTTTTCTACCTTGGCTTGCCCTCCTACCTAGATTCTCTGGATCTTAACCTCCTGTGCATCTAGAATTACAGGCTTGAGCCATCAGTACCAGGGTGAGCAGTCAGTTTTAGAACATTTGTATTACTCCAGAAGGAGACCCTTGTAGCCAGCACCGGTCACTGTTCATTCCCCTTGCCCTGTCTCTAAGCAACCACTAATCCTATCTTTTATCTCTATGGATTTGCCCATTCTAGACACCTAAAAGCCTTTTAACTATTAATGGAATGTTTGTTTAGAGCAAAAGACTCCCTATTCCCCTCCTGCCAGGTTTGATGATTAAGTCTAAGAAATAAACCCACTCTGACATATTAATGAGATGCTAGGTGATAAGACGGACACCAGTTATGTGCCTGGATGTAGCGGGAGAGTGAGCATCTAACCCAGTGAGATTTCGAAGCTGACATGCCCTCTTATAGGGAGAAGAATAGGGAGCAGAGATGTTGATTTGTTTCTAGGAGCAGTGAATGAGCCTGAGAACGGATGGAAGCCTGGGCTGAGTTTGGGCTCTGTGTGTAGTGTGCACTCCAGTCAACGTCCTGCCACGGGCCTCCCTGTCCTGCATTCACCTTGTTGATGGGAAGCTGGAGTCAGTTCCAGCAGACTCGCATGGAGGACCTGTCATGATCTGTATGTGCTGCTTGCTTCCCAGGTGCCTCTCTTGGCTCTGAAGTCTGAAGAGACACATTTTGGGGTGTTTTCTGAGCCCACAAGACCATCAAGAAAATAATCAGTTGGCCAGTAATTTCTATATAGATTTGGTGTGAAGGCAAGACCCCACACTTGGCAGACACCAGATGTGGGGTGCTTTCCCCACACCACTCCTCAGTTCCAAGGGACCCCAGTTGGGTGTCCTCTGTTCTGACACAACCCCAGGTTGTTGGGCCCCCAAGACTAATGGTAATTACGAGTGGGTTCCCCCATGCCTCCTGCCTGAGGGTGATTGATTGGTTTTAGCTGACTTCCCAGGATTCGGATAACAGCCCTGCCCCGAGGAAAGCACAGCATGTGTGAAGTGTGGCGTATCCATGGCCTCTCTCGGGGTGCCACCCTTCCAGCATCCCCCTGTGTCCAGCTGTCAAGCTCTTCATTCAGACCCGGGCATCATTGTTTAGGCATGATTTTTTTTTTTTTGGTCAGTCGTGGGGCTTGAACTTTGGGCTTGGGCACTGTCCTTGCGCTCTTCAGCTCAAGGTGAGTGCTCTGCCACTTGAGCCACAGTATCACTTCCCGTTTTCTAGTGGTTTATTGGAGATAAGAGTCTCACGGACTTTCCTGCCCAGGCTGGCTTTGAACCGAGATTCTCAGATCTCAGCCTCCTGAGTAGCTAGGATTACAGGTGTGAGCTACCAGTGCCCGGCTAGGCATGGTTTTTTTGTTGTTACATCCTTGGCCAATGGAGATCCATGTAACCTTGGGCCCCTCACACTTCCCTTGGGTTAGAGGTTGTGGATGAAAGTTCTAATCTCCCTTTTATTTTGCTTTGTGTGTGTGAACCAGTGCTGGGGCTTGAACTCAGAGCCTAAGCACTGTCCCTGAACTTCTTTTGCTCCAGGCTAGCATCCTAGCACTTGAGACACAGCTCCACTTACTACTTTTTTGGTAGATTATTGGAGATAATAGTCTATTCGCATGGACTTGCCTGCTAGGCTGGACTTGAATCAGGACCCATAGTTCTCAGCCTCCTGAGTAGCTAGGATTGTAGGCATGAGCCACCAGCCCCCTGAGAATAAAAGATAATTATTAAAGACTGTCCTGTAAGTACAGTTTCTGTGTTATACATCTGACATACAAATCCTAATATAGTTAATCAGAATGGGATTTTGTTATACATTGTTTGGTCTGGCTTTTTTGTCTGATAAATTGGGAACATTTTCCGTATCTGTCTGTCTAGATTTAGTGTAATTATTTTATTGCTAGTTAAATATTTGATCATTAACTTTGCTTATCACCTGTTCTGATACTTGAGGACTCTTATCAAGGATTAATTTGGATTTGTTCCTAGTCATCATATAGATGTGCTAAAGTGTCATAAATCACAGCTCTGTTTGTTTGACTTAGACCATTACCTGGGACCATCACCAGGCCAATGTCCAGCTTGTTCACTAGTGACGTGGCAGTAAGAGCTGCCTGTGGGAAGGAGAGAGCATGTGGCAGGCCACCTGTCCTTGTTGACAGACTGCTGTTCTTTTACAAGACACAGAAACACAAACATTCCCTCTGAATTATTTCTCAGAGTATCTATGGTCCCCTGCAGATAGCTTGCAGGATGTCTGAGTTCGGTGAAACCTGGCTTGAAGCAGCTATAGAAGTTGTAGGGTCAATCTGGACTTCCAAATGTAAACCCAAAGTTTACAGCTGTTGGGCGCTGGTAGTTCACGCCTGTAATCCTAGCTACTCTGGAGACTGAGCTCTGAGGATCATGGTTCAAAGCCAGGCCCTGAGTTCAAGCTCCAAGTCCTACAAAAAATGAATAAATACAATTAAAAATTAAAAAATAGGGCTGGGGGCTGGGAAGGTGGCTCAGTGGTAGAGTACTTGCCTTGCATGCATGAGGCCCTGATTTTAATTCCTCAGCACCACATAAATAGAAAAAGGCAGAAGTGGCGCTGTGGCTCAAGTGATAGAGCACTAGCCATGAGCTGAAGAGCTGAGGGACAGCGCCCAGGCCCAGAGTTCAAGCCCCACAACTGACAAAAAAAAAATTGTGCATTTGTACCACAATGGCCCCTGCAGTGGTGCCAGTCTTGTCCCCTTTTTGGTTTGGCTCATTCTTCCTCCATGAGGTGACGCTTCTCCTCCCATGTCTTCTTTCAGAGTCTGGACTACGACCGCTGTATCAACGACCCTTACCTGGAGGTGCTGGAGACTATGGATAACAAGGTGAGGTCCAGTGAGCTGACCTTGGAACCGGGGGGGGGGGGTCAGCCCCTTCCCTTGTCTCACATACACAGCCTTACCCCGGACTCTGTAAATCTTTCCACGAGATTAGCATTTCCCCAAGCCTCTCTGCCCACCAGGGTGCCCACTGTCAGAGCTCCTGGCCCAGTGCCCTGGGTTCCTTGTCTTTCATTGTGAACCACCTGCGGTCAGGCATCGTCTTCACCCTGCATACGGGAGTCTGACCCCGAGCGCTTTGTGTGTGTGTTTCTTCCTTGTGTGAACAGAAGGGGCGGAGGTACGAGGCGGTGAAGTGGATGACAGTGTTCGCCATTGGAGTCTGCACCGGCCTGGTGAGCAGAGGGACATGGGGAGAGGGTGAGCTGAGGTCGGGGGACAGGGAAGGGCCTGGTCTGGGCAATGATTGGTCACTCATCACTATAGTACTCTAGCAGTGTTGCCATAATTAACACTGCCTTTTCCTCTTTCCTTGTTCTTTTAAAGTAAGTAATCTTGGCCTTTCTTTTCTTTTAGAAGTTTAATTTAAAAAATTTCTTCGGTAATGTTACTAGGGATTAAACTCAGGGCCTGGAATTTGTTAAGTTAGCACTCTGCACTTGAGCCACACCCCCAGCCCTGACCCAGCGTTTCATACTGCTTTTCAGCTTTTTTGCTTTTGCTTTGTGAAAGCAAAGTGACTCATTCAACTCTGGGCTCTTTCAATGCCTAATGGTCTGCTCCAGACTCACCTCTTACCGTATGTTTAAGCTGGGTATGGTAGCTTATGACTGTAATTCTGGCTACTCAAGAGGCTGAGATCAGGAGGATCATAGTTCCAAGCCAGCCTAGAAAAAAGCTCATAAGACCCCATCTCAACCAATAAAAGGATGGATGTGATGGAGCTTGCCTGCCTTCCCAACTATGTGAGAAACATAAGTAGGCTTATAGTCCTGGGTAGAAAGTAAGACCCTATTCAAAAAATAACAAGATGGGGGGGAGGGGGGAGGCTGGGAAGGGATGTGAAGGGTAAACCAAAGGAGGAGGCTGCAATGCTTGGTAAGAAATGTATGCATTATCCTGCCCATGTAATTGTAACCCCTCAGTACAGTATGTTCACAAATAAAAAATAAAAAAATAAAAAAAAATAACAAGAGCAGGTCTGGGAAGGTGGCTTAGTGGTAGAGTGCTTGCCTAGCATTCATGAAGCCCTGGGTTCAATTCCTCAGTAATACATAAACAGAAAAGGCCAGAAGAGTTACTTTGGCTCAAGTGGTAGAGGGCTAGCCTTGAGGAAAAGAAGCTTAGGCCCCAAGTTCAAGGCCCAGGATTGGCAAAATAGAAAGAAAAATAACAAAAGCAAAATAGGGCTCAGGTTATAGAATGCCTGCCTAGCAAGCACAAGATCCCGAGTTCCTCAGTATTGAAAGAAAAAAATCCATAATGTACCAGTTAAGTGAGACAGCATATCTGTCCAGTAGATAACCTAATAAGTAGATTATCCTGCAAATGAAGTCACGCTGTCCTGGTCCCTTCCTGCTCCTTGAAAACCTGTCTGTGAAGCTATGGTGGGGCCAAGGGTGAGCCAGCATGTCCAGGGCTCCACAGGCTCACAGTTGAACCTCAGAGAGGGAAAGCTGAAGTGTGACCAAAGGCGGTGATAGCAAAAGGTCTGGGAGCATCACTGCAGCCTGAACAACTTCTTAACCCTGAAGAGAGATGTGGACAAAGCCGTGGTCAAAAGGGTCACTGGGATCCCATCAGCTCAGGACTGGAAAGGGACAGCTGCCTGCCTGAGCTGCAGTCTGTGTAGCACCTTCCTCTAGGACCGGCCACAGTCTGGTCCTTAATCTCCATGATACTCTTTGTGTGTCTAGGTGTGAACAGGTAATACAGGACTACCCCAAGGATCTACCCAAGGGTCCATCTTCATGGCACACATCAGGCTCCTACTCCGTAAATTCACAGGTTACTTCTACTGGGTGAGATTAAGGAGGTTCAAAAGGTGTCTTTGCTGACATTCTGTCAGCACCATTCTGCAGGGGACGAGGCTGGGTTGGTCTAAATTGTTTTGTCAAAATCTGTACATCCAAGTTGGGATGTAGCAAGGGAGTAAGCACTTGCCCAGAACACACAAGGTCCTAGGTTCCATTTCCAGCACTGCAAAACAAAACCCAAAACACCATAAAAATGGAAGTGGCTATTTTTCTGTGTATGTTTCTTATTGCAAATTTCTCTGTAACGGCTATAGTCACTAGCCCATCTGCCTTTCTGGGGCTGTCACACCAGCTCGTTAGAACTGCTGTTACTTGTGTTGACAATGTGTCTCCCCATCCTATCCTCAAAGCTAGAAGGCAGACCTTTATGTGGAGCAGCCAGCAGCCTCACCTACTACTCTTACCTTTGATCTGCCACCACATCAGCTTTAGCTACTGACTCTTTTGCAGGCAGGTGGGGGGAGTAGGGTCAGTTGTGGAGCTTGAACTCTGTGCCTGGGCACTGTCTCTCAGGTCTTGAGCCACAGCACCACTTCTGGTTTATTGGAGATAAACGTCTCACGAGACTGGGAATGTGACCTGGGGCTGGAAATGTGGCCTAGAGGTAGAGTGCTTGCCTAGCATGCATGAAGCCCTGGGTTCGATTCCTTAGTACCACATACATAGGAAAGCCAAAAGTGATGCTGTGGTTCAAGTGGTAGAGTACTGGCCTTGAGCAAAATGAAGCTCAGTGACAGTGCCCAGGCCCTGAGTTCAAGCCACAGGACTGTCAAAAAAAAAAAAAAAAAAGTCTATGGACTTTCCTGCCTGGGCTGGCTTTGAGCCATTATTCGTAGATCACAGCCTCCTGAGTAGCTAGGATTAAAGGTGTGAGCCACCGGCACAGGCCGGAGTCTTAACTTTGATCTGCCACTACCTCCTCCTTCTGTGTTAAAAAGCCTCCCAGTGGCATTAGCACTGGGAGGTACCAGTGGAAGAGTGGAACGGAAGCTGTTTCCCCTGCACAGAGGAACTGTGTGATGGTTCTAAATCACAGAAATAACATGGAAAATACAAAACACCAACCCTGAACATGCAACCACTCATGCCTCAGAAAGTGTACTTCCTTTTCGATGTAATTTTGTTTTGTGCTGGTACTAGGGCTTGACGTCAGAGCCTGGGCACTAATCCCTTAGCTCAGTCACTCAGGGCTGGCACTCTGTCACTTGAGCCACGACTCCACTTCTGTCTTTTTGGTGGTTAATTGGAGGGAAGAGTTTCACAGACTTTCTGCCTAGGCTGGCTGGGACTGCGATCCTCAGATCTCAGCCTCCTGAGTTGCTAGGATTACAGCGTGAGCCACTGGTGCCCTACACGGTTGTCCTTTAGTATACTAAGCTATGTGCTCATACAGCTAAGCACCACTAGGGACATTTCAGCTGTTCTTTTGGAATCATCTTTGCAAATTTCCCAGTGGTTTCCCCCACAACTCAGTGTTACTACCGCTTCACTATCTTTCTCTGCGTTCTTTCCTCTCTTTTTCTCTTTGCTTCACTGTACCCCTGCTCTTGTATAGTGGAGGGCCTTGTGGGGCCAAGCTGTGGCAGGATCTTGTGAAAGCCAGAGTGGCTTCACAGAAAGTTCATCCACCCATGAGTTGCTGGTGGTAGCTTAAGCGGCCCCTGTGGTACACTGGGCTAAGGCACCACGTTCAAGGATGTGGGCTTAGGGCTGCGCTCGGATGAGGCTGTGACTGCTCTCTGCTCTTTGCTTGTTGCAGGTGGGTCTCTTCGTAGACTTTTTTGTGCGACTCTTCACCCAGCTCAAGTTCGGAGTGGTCCAAACGTGTATCCTTTTCATAGTTCCTGGTGTTCCCGAACCCTGGAAGTTGGGAAGATTCTTTGTCTATAAGTGAATATGACAGGCTGCATGATATTTGAAGGCCTCCTAATTAACCACTCAGCTTTAATTATCAGGGAAGGACAAGGGAAGAAGATTTTCATAGATGCATTCATGTTCACGGAGGCTATAACACAGCACCGATGTGTCTTCTTCCCATCAGTTTATAAATTCAGTACTGCAATCAGAATTGCAGAATAGAATTTATCTTGGAACTCAGAACTGCTTGTTCTTAACAATATAAAATGTGTTCATTATAAAGGGAAAAAAGCAAACAGTCAGGTGTAGGTGGCTCATGCTTGTAATCCTAGCTACTCAGGAGGCTGAGATCTGAGGATTGCAGTTCAAAGCCAGCCCAGGCAGGAAGGTCTGTGAGACTCTTATCTATAATTAACCACCAGAAAACCAGAAGTGGTGCTGTGGCTTAAGCGGTAGAGTGCTTGCCTTGAGCTGAAGAGCTCAGCGACAGTGCCCAGGCCCAAGTTCAAGCCCCATGACTGACCAAAATAAAAAAGCAAACAAACTTGACTATATCAAAGTAAATACTCCACTTATAAAGGCAACCAAAAACCCAAATAACCACAGAGAAACAACATAGATAAAATGAAAACAATTCCCCAGCCTGGAAGAAGGTTGTGTGTGTGTGTGTACCCACGCACACTTGCCATCAGTGCCTGGCTTTGTTTTTTATGTATTCAACAGGCAAATAATTATTATCCAAAATGTAATATGAACTCATGCCTACAACAACATAAACATTAATACTATAAGCTGGATGCCTGTGGCTTATGCCTGTAATTTTTTTCTACTCGAGGCTGACATCTGAGGGTTGTGGTTCAAAGCTAGCCAGGGCAGAAAAGTCTGTGAGACTCTTATCTCCAATTAACTACCAGAAAACTGAAAGTGGCACTGTGACTCAAAGTGGTAGAGCACTAGCCTTGAGCAAAAAAGCCGGGGACAGCACCTAGGCCCTGAGTTCAAGCCCCATGACCAACAACAACAAAAATTAACACTAGGTGCTGGGAAGGTGGCTCAGTAATAGAGTGCTTGCTTTGCTTGCATGAGGCCCTGGGTTCAGTTCCTCAGTACCACATAAGCAGAAAAAGCCAAAGTGGTGCTGTGGCTCAAGTGGTTGAGCACTAGTCTTGAGCTGCAGAGCTGAGGGACAGTGCCCAGGCCCAGAGTTCAGGCCCCACAACCAACACACATACACAAAATAAACACTATCATAATAAATAAAAACTTAAAACAGTACAGTAGGAAAATGAGCATAGCAAGTGTCAGTGCCTCATGCCTATAATCCTGGCTACCCCCAAGGCTGAGATCTGGAAGATTGCTATTCACGGCCAGACCCAGCAGAAAAGTCTATGAGACTCCTCCAAAATAACTAGAAAAAATCCAGGCTAAAGGTGGGGCTTGAGTGACGGAGCCAGCCAAGGTAACAAGCTGAGCAGGCAAGAATGTGAGAGGCCCTGACTTCAAACCTTAATATCAACCAGAAAAAAAAGAAAAGAAAAGCAGAGACCTTGTATGGAAGTGGAGAGGAGGGTACAGAATGGCTGATATGCAGGGAGGCCTCAGGAGGGTGCACATTCATCTGACTTGTGGATTCTTGCAGAAGTGGGCCCTGTGCATGCCAGAACTGTTGTTTGAGACTTTGTGGCAACAGAAAGTTGAAATGATGAAGTTGGAGAATGGGAAAATTATGGTGTGTTCATACTCTGTAATTCTGTAGAGGTTAAAATAAATGAGCTGTGGCTTATCAGCATGGTGACTCATGTCAAGGAAGAGGAAAAGAACACGTCTGAGGATTACGTATGAGCAGTACGGACACACACGGAGGCACACAGTCATTGAGGGAGTGGGGTATGATTCTTTTTTGGGTGTGTGTGTGTGTGATTTAGGCTTTTGTTTTATTTATTTATTTTGCCAGTCCTGGGGCTTGAACTCAGGGCCTTGGCACTTGTCCCCGAGCTTCTTTTGCTCAAGGCTAGCACTCTACCACTTGAGCCACAGCGCCACTTCGGGCTTTTTCTATGTATGTGATATTGAGGAATCAAACCCAGGACTTCATGCATGCTAGGCAAGCACTCTGCCACTAAGCCATATTTGTAGCCCTTTTTGTTTTTTTGCTGGTTTTAGGGCTTACATTCAGGGCCTGGGCACTGTCCCTGAGCTTTTTCACTGAAGACCAGCACTCTACCACTTTGAGCCGCAGCTCCACTTCCAGCCTTTTTGGTGGTTAATTGGAGATAAGAGTCCCATGGACTTTCCTGCCTGGGCTGGCTTTGAACTGCAATCCTCGGATCTCAGTCTCCTGAGTAGCTAGGTTAAGTATGTTAAAAAAAAAAAAATCTAGGGGCTGGGAAGGTGGCTCAGTGGTAGAGTGCTTGCTTTGCATGCCTGAGGCCCTGGGTTCGATTCCTCAGCACCACATAAGCAGAAAGAAAAAGGCCGGAAGTGGCGCTGTGGCTCAAGTGGTAGAGTCCTAGCCTTGAGCTGAAGAGCTGAGAGACAGCGCCCATGCCCAGAGTTCAGGCCCCAGGACTGGACCCAAAAAAAAAATTTTTTTAATCTAGGGTTGGGTGGGGGGGGTAGGGGATGGATGGGATAGGAAGGGGAAACAAAGAAGGAGGCTACAATGCTTGATAAGAAATGTATTCATTATCTTGCTCATGTAATTGTAACCCCTCTGTACAGTATTTTCACACAAAAAAAAATCTGGAGCATGCAGGCATGATGCTGAAGTTTGTTAAGTCCATGTTGTACCCGTGTTCTTCATTATTACTTGCTATGATGTTTGTGGTGTTCCATAATTTTGAAGTGGTTCTTCCTATAAGCAGCATCTTTGACACCTTTTCAGCACGTTTATGACTGGAGGCCCAGACCTAGGGGAAGGGCAGCCACATAGCTTCCAGCCATTGGGGTGCACATGCTTGAGAAATCTGTTTCCTTGACCCAGCTTCTGCAGCCGTGGAAGAATGTAGCCAGAAAGGCTGCCTGGCCCTGTCCCTCCTCGAACTCCTGGGTTTTAACTTGACCTTTGTCTTCTTGGCAAGCCTTCTTGTCCTGATTGAGGTGAGGAGGGCTTGCTGCTTGCTGGTGGGGTTCTGGGGTTCTGCATTTAGGCTCTCCCGATGTCAGGAAGCAGTGGGTGCTACAGACGTGGCCCCTTGTTCACGCAGACATGATTGGGGTGGTGCGTGGCACCGGTGGATCACACCTGTAATCCTAGCTACTCAGGAGGTTGAGATCTGAGGATCATGGTTCTAAGCCAGCCTGGGACTGAGACTAAGCCAGTCCATGAGAGTCTTACCTCCAATGAACCACCAGAAAACTGGGATTGGTTCTGTGGCTCAAGTGGTAGAGTGCTCACCTTGAGTTGAAAAGCTAAGGAACAGCACCCAGGTCCAGAGTTCAAGCCCATGATCAACCAAAAAAAAAAAAGGGCTTAAGTCAGGACTGGGATGTGGCTTAGCAGTACAGCGCCTGCCTAGCAAGTAGGAGCACCCCTATTTCCCATTCAAATCTCAGCACCACCAGAAGCAAATAAGATGAGAGTCTGTGGAGGTGGGTGCCATGGGGATGGTCAGAATGCTCCCAGGTGATGCCAGGCTGCCAGACTCACCTGGGAAATGTCAGCAGTGCACCTGTTTCCATCCCCCTGTGACCCACCATGATCTGTGGTTGAAAAGTCCTCAGGTGAGGGGAAGCCAGTGTGGCAAGTGAAGGTGGTGGGCTCTCCCTGCACAGCCGTCTAGCCCCTTGAGGGTAAAGTGAAGAACTACTGGCGTGTGAATTGACACTGTGCCCCCTGTCCCTGCAGCCAGTGGCAGCAGGTTCGGGAATACCTGAGATCAAGTGCTACCTGAATGGCGTGAAGGTGCCAGGAATCGTCCGGCTCCGGACCCTGCTTTGCAAAGTCCTGGGAGTGCTCTTCAGTGTGGCTGGAGGTGAGTCTTACTCTCTTAGTCCCACATGGTCCAGAGGGAGGAAGGTAGGGCATTTTGTGTGTAAGCTGATTCCATTTGGCCAGCCCAAAGGAGATGTCCACACTTTGGTGCGATAGGATTTTTGCTTTGTCGGTTGCAGGGCTTGAACTTAGGGCCTGGGCACTGTCCCTGAGCCTTTTTGCTCAAGGCTAGCATTCTACCACTTTGAGCTACATGCTCTACTTCCTGTTTTCAGGTGTCTTAATTGGAGATAGGAGCCTCATGGACTTTCCTGCCTGGGCTGGCTTTGAACTGTGATCCTCAGATGTCAGCCTCCTGAATGACTAGGATTACAGGTGTGAGCCACTGGTGCCTGGCTGGGCTATATATAGTTTTTAAATGCAGACACTGTCAGTGTGTTGCTATTGGACATACCTGAAATAGAATGACCATCTAGTTTGCACTCTTGGTTTTTAGCAAAGTCTGCCAGCTTTTTGTTCAAACAGACAGCTGGTAAATAATTTAGGCCTGGGGCACCAGTCCAAATTGAAGGAATAAATGGTTCAGTAAGAACTGAACCTTTTTTTTTGTTGTTGGTCGTGGGGCTTGAACTCTGGGCCTGGGCTCTATCCTTCAGCTCTTCAGCTCAAGGCTAGTGCTCTACCACTTGAGCCACAGCGCCAGTCCAGCGTTTTCTGTTTATATGATGCTGAGGAATCAAACCCAGGGACTCATACATGCGAGGCAAGCACTTTACCACCAAGCCACCTTCCCAGCCCCAAGATCTGAACCATTTTAAGATGTATGGATTAAAGATCATAAGAAGCCAGGTGACAATGACTTATGCCTATAATCCTAGCTACTCAGTAGGCTGAGATCTGAGGATCACAGTTTGAAGTCAATTTGTGCAGAAAAATCTGTGAAACTCTTACCTCAACCACCAAACAGCCAGAAGTAGAGCTGTGGCTCAAGTGGTAGAGTGCTAGTTTTGAGCACAAAAGCTCGGGGAACTGAGTTCAAGCCCTGGAGTGGCACATACACAGATGTACACAGCGCCCATGATAAGCCATTCTCAGCTCTCAGACTAGACAGGCATGGAGTAGCTGTGGCCCCAGCTGTGCTTTGCTGGCCTGGAATTTCAAGAATAAAGAGTATTTTCTCTCATAGCAAGATTTAAAGGGAATTTGGCATTGTCTTAGAAAATCATCTGCTCATCTGTTTTATAATTGTGTTGTAAAGCAAGGGTCTCCTGAGCCACAGGTGCTCAGTGCTGACTGCTTCTCTCTCACTTTCCCAGGGCTCTTTGTGGGGAAGGAAGGCCCCATGATCCACAGCGGAGCCGTGGTGGGAGCTGGCCTTCCTCAGGTAAGGGCTGCCAGGGCAAGTCTATCAGGAGCTGCCCAGTGTGACTTCACCCCATGGATGTCACTTGGGGTGCTCACAGAAACCGGGGTGTCAAAGCCCTGCCGAGTCTTAGGAGGGAAAAAAACGTGTGACATAAAGAAATGAAAACCAGGCACTGCTGGCTCACACCTGTAATCCTAGCTACTCAGGAGGCTGAGATCTGAGGATCGCGATTCAAAGCCAGCCTGGGCAGGAAAACCCATGAGACTCTTATATCCAGTTAACCACCAGAAAAATAGAAGTGGTACTGTGGCTCAAGTGGTAGAGCACTGGCCTTGAGCTGAAGAGCTTAGGGACCACACCCAGGCCCAGAGTTCAAGCCCCACAACCAACAAAAAAAGAAATGAAAGCCTCCCTGGCGCCTTGGTGGGTCATCTCCACAGTGCCACTGACCAGGAGGCAGGAGCTGCAGAGGTCTAGGACTTGTTGCAGACTCATTGCACCTGACGTAATGCCAGCTGCCCTCAGTGTGCTGCCACATCCTGTGCAGATCAACCCCTCTCCTCACAGCCACCCATTCTCAGGGGTGGAAACTCGGGCTCAGACAGGTTGAAGAACCCGCTTGGGGCTTCAAAGCTTCCATTCAGAAAGGCTTTTCTTGGTTTTGGAGCTGCAAGTTCAATCAAGTCCATGTGAACTGTTAACTGTGGTCGTGAGTTGCTGAGGTGCAGAAAAGAAGGTTCTTCCAGGGGAAATCTCTCAACTCTCTCGATGCCACTTCATGCGCCAGGTCTCCCCGAAGTGCGCAGAAGGAGGCAGACTTGGGGCCAGGATGTGTGGTGTTGATTGGGGAGTAGCTCTTGGGGCAGAGCTAACTCCCTCTTGGGGCCTTCCCTCCCAACATCCCTGAACAGAACTCACCCCATTTTATGCAGCAGCTTTTGGCTCCTCCCAGTCCTTTGCTCAGCTCTTTCCCCTTTTTCTTTCTGATTTGTTGACTTTGTACAAAATGCAATTTCTGACAGGCCTAGAAATTTGAGGGCAGGAAACATAAGCTCCTCCCACAGGAGGTGGCTTCCTTCTCTTCACACTGCTGTTCTGCTCACCTTGTTCTTACAGCACCCCCATGCGGTGGGGTCCTGCAGCTTCCATCCTGGTGGGCCTGCTCTGATTTTGTTTTGTTTCTGTTTCCTGTTTTAGTTTCAGAGCATCTCCTTGCGGAAGATCCAGTTTAACTTCCCTTATTTCCGAAGCGACAGGTATGGAAACATGAGGAATTAGTGTTTATGCAAAAGATGGTCATGTCAGGCCAGGCTCAGTGCTTGCCCTAGCCTTGCCCAGAGCAGCCCCTGCAGCCGGGGCACTCACACCCACTGACAGAGGAGCACAAATACCAAGCTGGCATCATGGCTCTGTGTGTGTGCGTGTGTGTGTGCGCGTGTGTGTGTGCACGTGCGTGCGTGCATGCATGTGTGTGTGAGAGAGAGAGAATGAGAGAGAAACGCCAATACTAATGCCAGTCTGGGCCCGAATGCTGTCCCTCAGCTTTTTTGTTCAGGGCTGTCACTCTACCACTTGAAATACAGCTCTCCTTCTAGGATTTTACTGGTTAATTGAAGATAAGAGTCTGATATACTTTTTCTGCCTGAGCTAGCTTTGAATCACAACTCTCAGATCTCAGCCTCCTGAGTAGCTAGGATTACAGGTGTGAGCCACCAGCGCCCGGCTCATCATGGCTTTTATTGTTTCTTGCCAAAAGGCCTAGAAGCATCTCAGAGCATGAAGCCTGGTCTAAAATTGCTAACCAACCAAGAAAGGACCCGTGCAGATGTGTTTGTGTGATTCAGACAGGCCGAGGTGGGAGGTGCTTGTAGCAGAGGGCTCTTTTCTGGATTAACCATCCCCAACCCTCACCCACCCTCTCTTCTTTCCTCAGAGACAAGCGAGACTTTGTCTCAGCCGGGGCAGCCGCAGGGGTGGCTGCCGCTTTCGGGGCACCCATTGGAGGCACCTTGTTTAGTCTGGAGGAGGGCTCGTCCTTCTGGAACCAAAGGCTCACATGGAAAGTGGTGAGGAGATACCGGAGGAAACCGTACCCCAGAACCCACCTGGGCATCATTCTGGGGAGGCTGGAGGGCGAGAGCCGCCCGAGCCTCCCCTCCGTGGCTTTTCCCCTTTCGTGTCAGCACTGCCCGCCCACAGCAGATGGTCACCGTCCTCTGTGACCATCTGACGAGAGCACAAAGTGGCCGTCATCTAGGGTCAGGCCTTGAACCTGCCTCCCTCGAGCAGCCCTCCTCTTGATGCAGTATCTGCTCTCAAAGGGCTCTCATGGAAGGCTAGTGGGAGGAGGCCATCTTAGGGCCTGTTTCCACATTGTCTCCCGAAGTCCATCAGCTGGGTGGATCCATCCCTATCCCAGCCCCGCGTCTGCAGGCCTGGGGGGGGGGAGGCTGTGGGGCTGAGCTTCGAGGGAGAGACGAAGACCTGTCACAGCTGTGCCCCTGTTTTTGTCACTGTCCCCAGCTCTTCTGCTCTATGTCTGCCACCTTCACCCTGAACTTCTTCCGTTCTGGGGTTCAGTTTGGAAGTTGGGGCTCCTTCCAGCTCCCAGGATTGCTGAGCTTTGGCGAGTTTAAGGTATGCCTGCTTTTCTCCCAGTATTCCTTGCCTGACCCATGAAACTGGCTCTTAGGTGAAGGACCACACAGGTGGTCAGAGGCCAGGTACAGCTTCTAGTGAGGCGTCTATCTGTCTAGTATTGCCATGCGTGCCCTGCTCAGCGTGGGAAGGATTCTGACAGGGCCTCAGCTCTCAGAGAAGGGAAGGCAGCCCCATTCTTGTTTGTTTGTTTGTTCTTTTGGTCGGTCATGGGGCCTGAATTCTGGGGCCTGGGCACTGTCCCACAAGCTCTTCAGCTTAAGACGAGCACTCTACCACTTGAGCCACAGCACCACTTCAGTTTTTCTGGTGGTTAATTAGAGACAAGACTTTCCTGCCTGGGCTGGCTTTGAACCATGATCCTCAGATCTCAGCTTCCTGAGTAGCTAGGATTATAGGCGGGAGCCACCGGCACCTGGCGGCAGCCCCATTCTCATTTCTGTGTTCTCTCTGTCCCTTCTTGTTCACATGGCCACTCTGGTTTTTCTCTCTCCCTCCCTTCCCCCTTGTCTCAGTGCTCTGACTCTGATAAAAAATGTCATCTCTGGACAGCTATGGATTTGGGGTTCTTCGTCGTGATGGGGGTCATTGGGGGCCTCCTAGGAGCCACATTCAACTGTCTGAACAAGAGGCTTGCAAAGTACCGGATGCGAAACGTGCACCCGAAACCTAAGCTCGTCAGGTATCTGCGTAGTTGCCTCCCCTGGCCTGCCGTACCTCCCTGAGCCTGGCTCAGGGGCCCTCTTTCCCCAAGAGACAGCTCCTGCCTCCCCCACAATGAACACAGGCTCCCAAGTCCACCTTGCTGGCCAGACAGGACATGAGGCCTAGCCTGCGCTTCATGTATGTCCGGGTGGCTGGCTGACGCCCACCTCTTATGATATCTTGGTGGCAACAAGACCAAGTCAGGAGGGTCATTGTAGCCCTGTGGAGGCCACTCTTGCCGAGGATGTACTGTGGAGGCCAGTTAATTCTGTGGAAAGAGTATGTGGATATGGTCGCCTGCTTGATTGACTGCCCATTTTGAACTGCAGATTGCTGGGATGCAGCAGTAATGCAGCCAGTGTGGGCTGGCCAGGGGCTGATGGGAGTGCCCTGGTAGGAGGGGGGCGCAGGGTGTGTTTCCTCCGGCCAAGTGTCATTATGGATTGTGACAGCTGTGCTCTGCTTCCTAGAGTCTTGGAGAGCCTCTTGGTGTCCCTGGTAACCACCGTGGTGGTGTTTGTGGCCTCAATGGTATTAGGAGAATGTCGAGAGATGTCCTCTGCGGGTCAAATCGGCAATGGCTCCGTCCAGCTCCAGGTAGCCTGACACACCTGCTGCCTTCACCCTCACCAGAGCCTGCTGTTCCTGGGTGTTAGGTAGCAGGTGGCTGAGAGGGGACTGTGCACCATCTTTCTACCTGAGAGGTTGTACACAGACACCCTCTGCCTGGTCCGCTTTGTGAATGAGTCTGGCTCTTGGTCTGCCTTTGTGAACGAGTCTGGCTGTGTGGGAAGGGAGCTGTTCACAAGTGTTCACAAGCTGAACACTTGTCAGAAACGAGCTGGGGCTCTGGACTGCTCACTCTCCTACTCCAGGCGTGCAAGGACCACTGAGCAGGCCTCCTTACCCACTGCCTGGCCTTTGAGAGTGTGAGAGTTACTCTTAGGACTGGGTAAACAAGCCTGCTGAGAACTGAGGATCAAGGTTCAAAGCCAGCCTAGACAAAAAAAAAAAGTCCATGAGATTCTTATCTCCAACTAGCCATAAAAATGCCAGAAGTAGAGATGTGGCTCAAGTAGTGAGCACCATCTTGAGCACGAAAACCAAGCTAAACCACCAGGTCCTGAGTTTAAGCTTTAGTACTGGTGTGCGCATGTGTGTGCACACACACACACACAAAGGAACGTTGGTGTCTGGGTGACCCATGAACCTTTTCCTGGTGTCTCCTGGCTCTTGTGGAAGTATCCTGTGTTCCTGTCTCCCCTTCATTTTCCAAGGGTCTTTCCTTGGGGAGCAGGGCACAGGAGCTGGCATGGGGGCTGACTCTACCCTGTGTGCTTTGGCCACTGGTGGGTCTGAGAAACAGCCATGTGTCCAGCCTGTAGGGTGGCAGCTGGTAAGCCTTCTCCACATTCTTTTTGTTGCCCTTAACTGGTCATGTGAGTCTTTCAGACATTCCCCATCCCAACCCCCCCCCCCAATCCTTTGTCTTGGAGAACTGCCTCTTCAGTGTCCCAGGAACAGGGCGTGCAGCCCTAGACACGTTAGATCTGGGGTCAGCAGGCCACAGCCCCACCCGGTCCTCAGCTGCTCGCTTGTGCTGCCCGAGCTGAGGGCTGTTTACATTTCAGATGGCCGGGGGAAGGGAGATGGCCACACTGTGTGGTGGCAAAATGTACAGGACACTTCCTTGCTCTCCAGGGAAGCTTGCTGGCCCCTGCCCCAGTTATTCCCTAGGTCTGTTTCATGAGACCAGTAGTTTTCCAAGTGTGTTCTGTTCTGGAACATTCAAAAACAACCACAGAAGCATTCTGTGCCAGGCATAGTGGCTCCTGCTGGTGATCCTAGCATTCGTGAGGCCAAAGCATAGCTAGCCTGGGCTACAGAGTGAAACCCGTCTCCAAAATCAGACAGAAAAAAAAAATCAAGCTGCATTCTGTGCCTGTGGTCTCGTGGGCTGACCTAGACCAAGCAGGCCTCCTTAGCACATTGTTCCAGGAAGTGAGGCTGTGTGCCAGACCTCAGTCTCTACGGGCCCATTAAAGACATGGACTCATTCAGGCACTGGCTAGACCAGCTCTTCCTACTTTACATATTAGGAAACCAAGGCAAAGAGAGGTCTTGGCCCAGATCCCTTAGCTAATAGCTTGTGGCATGAGGGTGGCTTTGCTGTCACCGTGTAGATGAGACATGAAATGCTGTCCCTGGCAGAGCAGGTGGCAAAGCCACGTCATTTTCGAGTCTGCTCTGCTTTTCCAAGAAGTGCTGTCCTGCTTCCCAGTGTAGCTGCCACGAGATCTTCCAGAAGGTCTTCAGGACTGGCTCCTCCAGTTGTGCTTTGGGAAACCCTGCCTGCCACTGCAGCCTTGCTGCTGGGGCTCAGCCGTCCACCATCGGCTCAGCCCTGCTCTGCTCTGTGATGCTAGAACGTGGCACACATTTCTCCTTCACCAGCTTCTGCCAGCAGGGCTCCATTCTGCCCCCTGTGGCAGCCTGAATCCTGTTGTGTGGCCCAGTCAGCTTCACCTGGGGTCATGCTATTAAAACACTGCCCAGTGTCACAGTGCCCACCCAGAGCGCCTCCACCCTGTCATCAGTGGAATCAGATGCATGTTCTTAATCTTTGTAAGGCCATTCTGTATTCGCGTGGACAGCCGTGGGTGTGACGCATGACCCCTGAGCACTGTCTGCTAGAAAACCAGACGCCCTCCCATGAACCACGGTGAGAGCCCAAGGCTGGGAGGGTGGGGAGCAAGTTGGTTCCCTTTTCCCCTTCGGATTCTGATCTCCTGATGGGGTTAGAGGAGGGGTTGCCAGAGTGTGGCACAGCCACCAAGTTTCATGACAAGGTGGGTTTCTGTCCCAGAAAGTTCAAGGCAAAGGCTGTTAGGTAAGGCCTTTTAGCAGTGGCCTGGACACCTATCTGTCACCTGCTGAACTCTTCCCATGGGGGTTCCAGCCATCAGCCCCAGAGAGGAAGCAGGCCATGTCCACAGTGAACTGTGATGGAAGGTTTTTGTAGTGGTTAGTTCACTCTACATCAAAATGCAGAGTTCAACAGCATGGTCAACTACTGTTGGGTTTGCTCAATTTTTTTTTTCTGGTCTTAGGGCTTGAACTCAAGGCCTGAGGTCTGTCTTTGAGCCTTTCTGTGCTCAAGGCTTAGTGTTCTACCACTTGAGCTACAGAGCCACTTCTGGCTTTTTCTGAGTAGCTCATTGGAGATGGGTTTCACTGGTGCTGGGAATATGGCTAGTGGTAGAGTGCTTGCCTACCATGCATGAAGCCCTGTGTTTGATTCCTCAGTACCACATAAACAGAAAAAGCCAAGCTCAAGTGGTAGAGTGCTAGCCTTGTGCAAAAAAGCAGCTCAGGGACAGTACCCAGGCCCTGAGTTCAAGCCCCAGGACTGGCAAAAAAAAAAAGTCTCACTGACTTTCCTGCCTTCCTGCCTAGGCTGGCTTTGAACTGTGATTCTCAGATCTTTGCCTCCTGAGTAACTAGGATTACAGACATGAGCCACTGGTGCCCAGCCAGTTTTGTTTATTGTGATTATTGAGTTGTACAAAGGGGTTACAATTCCGTAAGTAAGATAATGAGTATAATGCTTCTTGGACAATGTTGCTCCTTCCTTTGCTTTTCTGCATTCCTCCTTCCCCCGTCCCTGCCCACAAGTCACATAGTTCACTTCTTACATAGTGTATATTAAATACAGTGACTACATTCATTCCTCCATTGCTGCCAGTGTAAGCAGAGGCAAAGCTGTGCAGCTGACTTCTGACCTTGCTAGAGCCAGAGTGTCCTGGTCAGGTGTCCTTAGGCTGACCTCTTTTTTTTTTTTTTTTTTTCCCCTTGGCTGGTTCTGGGGCTTAGACGCAGGGCCTGGCCACTGTCCCTGAGCTTATTTGTGTTCAAAGCTAGCACTCTACCACTTGAGCCACAGCGCCACTTCTGTCCTTTTCTGAGTAGTTTATTGGAGATAAGAGTCTCACAGACTTTCCTTCCTGGGCTGGCTTTGAACTGTGATCCTCAGATCTGAGCATCCTAAGTAGCCAGGATGACAGGCGTGAGCCACCGGCACCCACTTAGGCTGACTTCTTAACTCCTGCTTTCTAGGTCACATCAGAAGATGTAAATTCAAGTATCAAGACGTTTTTTTGTCCCAATGATACATACAATGACATGGCCACACTCTTCTTCAATCCTCAGGAGTCAGCCATTCTCCAGCTTTTCCACCAGGACGGTAAGTCTGCACTGCCCCAGCCCAGCGGGGCTTGGGTTTGGGCTTGGGCTTGGGCTTGGGCTCGGGCTCTCACTGGCCAGCCTCACCCTTCCCTCCAAGTGACTTCAGGCTTTTCCTGTACATCCCAGCCACACAGCAACTAGCAGCCCCTGCCCCTGTGCTGGGAGGGGGCCTGGGGCAGGCTGTGGAAGGGCCTGCGAGGAGGATAGCGTGCTGGGTCTTGGTGGCCCTGGAGGCCTGCATCTCAGTCTGGTCTTCCCTTGCAGGGACCTTCAGCCCCGTCACCCTGGCCTTGTTTTTCATTCTCTATTTCCTGCTTGCCTGTTGGACTTACGGCATTTCTGTTCCGAGTGGTCTGTTTGTGCCCTCTCTGCTGTGTGGGGCAGCTTTTGGGCGCCTTGTTGCCAATGTCCTGAAAAGGTACAGTGTGTATGTGTGTTGTGAGAGTGTATATGTGTGAGTGAGTGTGTGTATATGTGCACAGAGGTGCATGTGAGTCTAAGTATATCTGTGAGGACCAGGTGCTGGTGACTCACGCCTGTAATCCTAGCTATTGAGGAAGCTGAGATCTGCCGACGGAGGTTTGAAGCCAGCTCAGGCAGGAGAGTCTGTGAATCTCTTGTTTTTTTTTTTTTTTTTTTTGGGTCCGGTCATGGGGCCTGAACTCTGGGCCTATGCGCTGTCCCTCAGCTCTTCAGCTCAAGGCTAGTGCTCTACCACTTGAGCCACAGCACCACTTCCGGCTTTTTTCTTTTCTTTTCTTTTGCTTATGTGGTGCTGAGGAATCGAACCCAGGGCCTCAGGCATGCAAGGCAAGCTCTCTACCACTGAGCCACCTTCCCACCGGTCTGTGAGTCTCTTATCTTCAGTTAACTTCTAAAAAGCTACAAGTGGAGCTATGGTTCAAGAGCACTAGCCTTGAGCAAAAAAAAAAAAAGCTCAGGGATAGCACCCAGGCCCTGAGTTCAAGTCCCAGAGCCAGCACCAAAAAAAAAAAAAGTTTATGTGTGAGGGTATATATGTGTGAGTATATGTGAATACACACATTTGTGCACACAGGCACAAGCGTGGCAGCTGTAGATAAACAGGTGCAACTAAGACTTTCAGCCCATCTCCGTGTGCTTCTTCACCAGCTACATCGGACTGGGCCACATCTACTCAGGGACCTTTGCCCTGATTGGTGCAGCGGCCTTCTTGGGCGGCGTGGTCCGGATGAGCATCAGCCTGACGGTCATCCTGATCGAGTCGACCAACGAAATCACCTATGGGCTTCCCATCATGATCACCCTGATGGTGAGCGTTCCCCCACACACACTCCCTGCAGGCTCGGGGCCAAGCCCAGCCCACAGGGCCTGCTTTCAGGCTGCTGCTTTGTGTTTCAGGTAGCCAAGTGGACAGGGGACTTTTTCAATAAGGGCATCTATGACATCCACGTGGGCCTGCGGGGCGTGCCACTCCTGGAGTGGGAGACCGAGGTGGAGATGGACAAGTAAGGCCCCGTGTCTGGGGTTGGGGTGGGAAGGCTGGCTGGGGGGACAAGGCACATTGTTCTCCAGCATAGAAGCTCAGGTGGGGACCAGAGGGGCTAAGAGGCTGGGCAAGGCCGAAGGGAGTGCAGCCAGGTATCTGGGTCTGGTCAGTGACAGATGGAGACTGAGGCAGGGAATGAGGCCGGCCTGCTGCATGCACACCCAACACGCGCCCCACAGTTGGCCTGGGCGGCGATCCCACAGACCCTGCAGCCTCCTGTCCAGACAGCAGGCAGCCCCGACGGGCTAGCGCAGTGCCACGAAGCAGCTGTGGTCAGCTTGGTGCATCTCTGTCACCACTGAGCAGGAAAATGCTGTGGCTGAGTGAGCAGGGCTGGATGTGATCTGTGAGCTGGGGTGTGCCATTCCCTGATCCAAAGGAGACTCCAAGATGATGATTTCAGTTCCAGTATCATTAGCAGTTTAATGGTGATACCTAGCGGGTAGCGTGCAGTGTGCAGGAGGCTGGCCAGCTCTCCCGCAGGCCTCTGGCTCTCCTGGGGAGGGGAGGCATGGGTAAAAGCCCGCCGCCCACCAGCATGAGAACACGGCACAGGGAGCAGCATGTGAGAAGGGAATGGAATGCTGCAGAAGGGAGGGGGAACCAGCACCACCCCCTGAGCGTGCTCCCAGTGGGCTCGCTCTTGAGGCTGCCTGGCTCACCCCTCCCCCGCCCCCCCAGGCTGAGAGCTAGCGACATCATGGAGCCCAACCTGACATACGTCTACCCGCACACTCGCATCCAGTCTCTGGTCAGCATCCTACGCACCACGGTCCACCACGCCTTCCCAGTGGTAACAGAGAACCGGGGCAACGAGAGGGAGTTCATGAAGGGCAACCAGCTCATCAGCAACAACATCAAGTTCAAGGTAGGAAAAGTGGCCTTGGTGTTCCCGCTCCAGCTGCCACACGCACTGGGTGGCCCTGACTGGCTGTGTCTGACTGGCTGTGTCTGACTGGCTGTGTCTGACTGGCTGTGTCTGACTGGCTGTGTATGACTGGCTGTGTATGACTGGCTGTGTCTGACTGGCTGTGTCTGACTGGCTGTGTCCTTGCTGCTGCGACAGCATAGGTTCATGGCACAGATGGGCCTTATCCGTCCAAGACATGCCACAGGATCTTTTTTTTTTGGTCAGTCATGGGGTCTGAACTCTGGGCCTGGGCGCTGTCCCTCAGCTCTTCAGCTCAAGGCCAGCACTCTACCACTTAAGCCACAGTACCACTTCTGGTATTCTGGTGGTTTATTGGAGATAAGAGTCTCAGGGACTTTCCTGCCCAGGCAGTCACTGAACCATGATCCTCAGATCTCAGCCTCTTGGAATAGCTAGGATTACAGGTGTGAGCCACTGGCGCCAAAACCATTTTATATGTGTACTTATTGGGAAGAATTGTTCCCAAGCAAAAGAAATCTAGTCAGGATTTGAGGCTCTCTAGCTAGTGCAGCTCTCTGCACATAGATTGAGGAGACCTTTTAACTAGGTATGATGCAATGTACAGAATAGGAAAGAAGGGGCTGGGAAGGTGGCTCAGTGGTAGAGTGCTTGCCTTGCATGCCTGAGGCCCTGGGTTCCATTCCTCAGCACCACATAAGCAAAAGAAAAAAGAAAAAAGCTGGAAGTGGTGCTGTGGCTCAAGTGGTAGAGCGCTCGCCTTGAGCTGAACAGCTGAGGGACAGTGCCTACGCTCAGAGTTCAGGCCCCACGACCAGCCAAAAAACAAAAACAAAAAAACAGAATAGGAAAGAAGCCACAGGGTTGGCAGCCATCCTGGGTCTCTGACGGCTCCTGTCCAGTTGTGTCATTAGACCCCAGTTGTTCTCCGATCCGTGGGCTGGGCAGTAGCCGCTGGGTGTGTGTGCCAGGCAGAGCCATGCGGCATCCCTGCAAAGTCTGCCCCTGTGCTCGCCCCTCCTCAGAAGTCCAGCATCCTCACGCGCGCGGGCGAGCAGCGCAAGCGGAGCCAGTCCATGAAGTCCTATCCGTCCAGTGAGCTGCGCAACATGTGCGAGGAGCACGCGGCCCCCGAGGAGCCAGCCGAGAAGGAGGACCTGCTGCAGCAGATGCTGGAGCGCAGGTGGGGCCCGTGCCCGCGCCCGCGCTGCCCCAGCACCGAGGCAGCAGCCCGGCCCAGGGTGTGCTAGGCAGCGTCTGGTTTCTGTGTAACAGATACACCCCCTACCCCAACCTATACCCTGACCAGTCCCCGAGCGAAGACTGGACCATGGAGGAGCGCTTCCGCCCGCTGACCTTCCACGGCCTCGTCCTGCGCTCACAGCTCGTCACCCTGCTCGTCCGGGGCGTGTGCTACTCGGAAAGCCAGTCGGTGAGTGACCCGGAGGCCCTGGGCCGCACGGCGCTCCCGGACCTCTGCCTGCCCACGCACCGTGCTTCACTCCCAGAAAGGGGGGCACCGCCACCGGCTCTCCTCTCACAGGTAGACTTTTGAGTGTTCCTGTGCCCCCAGGAACATATACCTATGCCGCCCAAGACCACGCACATGTGCGCACACACACCTGCCACCCATGAATATACATAGCCACACCTATACCACTCAAGACCACATCCATGCACACACATGCACCTGGGCTACCCAGGAACACACATACCTCCGTGTGCCACCCAGGAACACCCACGCACCCCTGTGCTCCCCGGGAACACACACACACCCCTGCCTGGGGCCCCCACACTGTCCACAGTAGGCGACTGGGCAAGCTGTCCACAGGCTCCAGCCTGAGCCTGTGGTCCGACAGGCCTGCACAGAGCAGTGACGGCTGGCACAGGACGATCCCACAGGGCGATGGGGAGGGAGATGTGCAGCAGGGCTGGCAAAGGGGCACGCCAGCCCCTGCCTCCCCTGGCAAGGACACTCGGTTGGGATTGCAGAGTGCCAGCCAGCCACGCCTTTCCTATGCTGAGATGGCCGAGGACTACCCGCGGTACCCCGACATCCATGACCTGGACCTGACGCTGCTGAACCCTCGGATGATTGTGGTGAGGGGCTGTCCGTGGGCTGTCTGGGATGGTTGAGGGGCTGTCCGTGGGCTGTCTGGGATGGCTGTGGTTGAGGGGCTGTCCGTGGACTGTCTGGGATGGTTGTGGTGAGGGGCTGTCCGTGGGCTGCAGCTGACCCCTGCTGTCTCTTCTGCAGGATGTCACCCCATACATGAACCCTTCCCCATTCACCGTCTCTCCCAACACCCACGTTTCCCAAGTCTTCAACCTGTTCAGGACCATGGGCCTCCGCCACCTGCCTGTAGTGAACGCAGTGGGAGAGGTGAGCCTGACCATACCCCTTGGCCCTCTGCCTGGGCCGCCTCTGTCCCAGAAGGCCAGCAGGTGGCGCCAGGGTGCCATGCTGCCTTCTTGCCTTACTGTGACTTGTGACTGTCCGACTTTCAGTCTCCTCACTCGGGACCTACCCTGTTGTTTCCTCCCTATTCATGGAGATTTGTCACACTAACAAGAGGGTTTAGAACAAAATGCTTACACTGGGTGCACAGTGCCCAGCACTCAAGTGCTGAGTTAACAGGTGTGTGCCACCATGCCTGGCATCTTATATTTCTGGTTCTCCTAAAAATGCAATCACTCTCCAGAGCATCTGTGGGACATGACTTTACACAACAAACAACTTGAGACCTTTCTCTTGTTCTAGATCGTGGGGATCATTACTCGGCACAACCTGACATATGAGTTTCTGCAGGCCCGGCTGCGGCAGCATTACCAGACCCTCTGAGTCTGCGGCCCCCTCCCCAAGCCGCCTGGCAGGCGCATGCTCACTCAAGGGCCCCACAGGTGGCTGGGCTGTTCCAGCCCAGAGGTTCCCAGTTACGCCCTTGCCCAGAAAGCCTGGAATCATCAAGCACTACGCTGGCCAGAGATCCTGAAGATGGGCCTGAACTGGAAGCTTGGGCTCTTCCAGCTTCTCCACAGGCCCCCGTTGTTCCCTGTGCTTCTGCATCGGTGTCGGCACAGGCCTGCCCAACCCCCCCGTGAGCCAGGGCCAGGGGTGGAAGGCAGGCCGGGCCCTGCGTATCTTTCCTGCCTGCCGTTCCTGCTCTCCTGGAGTGCCCAGCTGCTGCCTTAGATCCTGGATGGCCTGGGCCCAGGTGAACAATGCGGGGCTGTTTTCCATGAAGTCCATTGCTGAGTTTGGAAATTGGGCTTGGAGAAAGCCCCTGTGAACAGGGAGGCCTTTCTTGGAACGACGACTCCTCCTCCTCTTCCTCCTCCTCCTCCTCCTCCTCCTCCTCCTGCTCCTCC